TAATTTTTTCTACTTCTTCCAGCTTTTGACTACTCTCTTGGTCTTTTTTATCTTGCATACCTACACTTTATTCTTTCAAGGTCTGTAAATTTTGACTTTACAAAAGTATTCTCTTTGATCTGAGTCTCTGTTAAATTTACAAAATCGAAGTAACTTACGAATTCCCAAATGTCTTTATCCTTGCTCTGCAATCCTGAAATGTTCTAGAAGTAAAATTTTACACCTTCTTTACCTCCAACTGTTTGCTTTTAACTTCTTTTCTCTTAGTTGCTTTTCAACTTCTTTTCTCTTGGTTGCTATTCAACTTGCTCTATGTAACCACCACTGTAAGCTCGCTTTTACTTTCTTCCCAGTGGTGCCATATGTTGTCTATTTGGATCTTTTTACATCACATTCATGTCTGTTTCTTTTTCTCTCAGTTCTTTAGCCAGTCTTTAGTTCGTAGTTAGATGAATCTTTCGTTTGGTGTCAAGTTATCTTCTATGTATAAACCTCTTTCTAATCTACTTTTCTTGGTTATTTTCTTTTTTAGTCTGAATTATTTTCCTCTGTTTTCGAACCGTTTATCATTACACTCAGCTTTCTGCTCTCTTTGCCTCTTCTTTCACTCTCTTCTTCGAGCTGTATTAATCATGCAAGTATCTTATCTATCCCGAAATCAAACAGACATAGTTTAATTAACTCTAGATTAGATCTGGCACATAATCTTATCATTACTTTGTTTTCTTCCTGATTTTGTTAGCATTTTTATCATGACCCAGTATCCTTCAATTTTCTTTACATCTACCTCTTTTTAGGACCGTCTTTTTATGTTAGAAACTTCTCAGAACTATACTAGGTGATTCTCGAGCACTTAACCAATTAGCTTCTTCCTTTTCTTCTATACTTCTTTATAATAGCTTATTTCACTTTTATTTTAAGTCCAGATTAACTTAATAAATGTTGTACATTCAGGAATCTAAACTGTTTACACTTTCCTAACATAAATCACCATGTTCACGATACCGCGGTTCGTGTTGAACTTATATATGATGTTGAGTAAACGATATTTAAGAACGCTAAAACAATCAAAAGCTCCCTTTTCTCTGCAAACCCTGAAAATGGTAAATTACGTCACTAGGGCATAAAATACAACCATGAGCGCCCGACGGGCACGGTTACTGTATGTTGGTGCCCGAGTCACGAATAATTTTTTACTTACCTAAGGCGCAAACTTCAATTTTGCGCTCATGGGCACACTTTGCACCCAGTAAATCGTTTTTCTAGTTTGGATCCACCATTTTTTTGCCCGTGGGCTTAAAGTAATCACAAGAGCGCAAAGTGTGGTCCGAAGGCGCAAAGCGGCAGTTGCACTTTGTGCCCATGGTAAGAAAATGTAATAAAAGATCCCCACGTACGGCATGTGCTAAATAATTAATATATCTTTGACAGGAAGATTAGCGCAAACCACGGTAGAGACCACATTGCGGCCCACAAAGATAGAGCAGTGCATACCAACAATAAGGACGAAAAAAAGTAATAGTAAGGAAAAAAGAAGCTCCTGTGCATAAGGAAGCTCAGAAAAGAAAAAATAACTGTAAGTAAAGAGCAAGAAAAGCGAGAATAGAGAAAGACAAAAACATCATCTATTACCTTAAACCGAAGGTTTGAGAAAAGAAGGATAGCGGGGATATGCTAAAACAGCTAAGGAGGGAAGAAGAAAGTAAAATTACTAGATGTAGTGCAAAGCTTTAAAAGGCAGTAGATAAGCTGAAGATGTTTAGCTTAGTAAACTTTAAAGTCAAGGTAAGCAGTAAAAAAGAGACAAAAGGAATGGACAAAAAACAAAGGATTATATCAAAGAACTGAGAAACGAATACCAAGGAAAATTAGAAAAACAAAGAAATGAGGGCAGACCGGAATAAAAAACGGACAAAGAACAGATTAATGAGAGGCTTTAAAGACTGGAAATGGAAAAGGAGAGAAGAGACAAAGAAGGTAGAAAGTTAAATAGTCGTAATAAGACTGAAAATTAGGGAAGGAGGAACTTTGAAGGAGATAAAAAAAGTAGCTAAACCAGCAGCTTGTAATGAAAATGCAGGGTAAAATTATTAGTGACAAAAATAAAGGATAAGGCAAAAAATATTCCTGGTGAAAGTTGTACACTAGGAAACCAAAAGACAAGTGATACTAAGGAAGAAAAATATTTAGCAAGAGGTATGTATGTATATAAAGACAACCTACCACAAAAAGGTAGAATGAAAGTGAGGCTATGGGCCAGAAAGTGGAAAAAAAGGGCAAGGTTGCGAAATTAAGAAAACGCAAAGTTTTAATGGACAACAGATGGTACCACTGGGGCAATCAAAGAAGAATGGGTATAAGGGAGTGTAGCTGAAGTATCCCAAAGTCACTGATTGACTCCACCATTCTCAGGACTAACTAAGAGAACAACAAGTCAAGTGGACATGTGTATATACATGCATGTAAATCTATGTTTCTCTCTCCACCACTTCTTTTATCTATGCGGTCCCGAAAACGGCTTCTTCAGCAACACTCTCATATTATACCCACTCTAAGTCAAAAAGGAGATTTGGTACGGAAACAACACAAGAGCAGATGGAATAGGTAGACGGAGTAAAATAAGGGAAAAAGAAATGAGAGGGAGGAGAAAAAGTGTATTTTTGAAACGTAGCCAGATTAATGAACAATGGTATAGACTTCTGGGAGAACATAAAGAATTACAATTTTGTGGGCCTTACAAAAACGTGTATAAAAGAGGGGACCCGAGAAATAATTAGAAGCAGCTTGCTGTCAAAGTTTGATTGGAAGTGCTGGGTAGCTACCCAGTACAAGGATAAAGCAAAAGAGTGGGGAAAAGTAATACTACATAAAAACATCAGAATCAAAGAAGAGAACTGAAGATTTATAATAATTTATTATCAGAACACGAAAGGAACGCTGCGGATACCAAAATAAAGGTTATTTATGGAGAAAGAAAGACATTTGCTGATCGGGGAAGATTGAAATGTGAAAACGGCGAAGAAAAGTGGCATTGAGAAAGGAGAGGACATATACCTAATGTAGAGGAAAGCCAATAACATGAGAAAATTAGGTGATAAAACTATAATCATGGAAAAAAGGGTCCTCATAAATCGATTGGAGGAAAGGACTTGTTGATTATAAACGGCAGTTAAGGCAAGAGAGGAAGCTTCACGCATGTGGACGTGGAAGGAGAGTCAGTCATGAATTAAGTGTTAGCGAATGAAGAGGAAACGGACGGCATAGAAAAGATAAGAATAGGTAAGAGTATAGAGTCAAACTACATGCCAAAATGGAGCTTAAGGCAGCAACACTGAATATTAAAGAAGGAATCAGAAATTCGAAAAACGAGCAACAACTGTAAAGAGAGAAAAGACGATATGGACGGAAGAACTCAGGGGGAAATGCACCACAGTTTGTAAAGGTTAGTTACCCAAAGCAGAGACGAATGAGGGAAGGTTGAGAGCTATACAGAACAAAGTGGAAATGGTACTGCTAAAAGTAAGAAGTAAAATTTAAAAGAGGTGCCCGGGAAAAAACCCATAGAAAAGTTAAGTGTAGAGACAAGACAAGGTTATCCCTGATTGCTCTAAGGAAGGAATAATTACACATAAGGAGCATGGAGCATAAAAAAGGAACAAAAAGAATACGGGCAGCTGAGTTAGTCTTACACAACTAGAAAAGCCAAGAAAGTAAAAAAGAATGGAATGAGTGAAGTTGGCGCGAAAGAAGAAGGGATAAAAGCGAGGGGTAGACTTGAAATTAGATGAGAAAATTAAAAGCAGCTTAAAATCGAAAAAACATTCGATACCCAAATGAATATCGAACAACGTTATCGAAAAGAAGAAAGACAGCAGTAAGAGGTTAGAAAAATAGCGCGAGAAAACCAGCGTGTAGAAAATTTAAAAGTGAATCCAAGAATAATAGAGAGTAAAAGATTAATCGAGATGTGGTTGAACGAAGTATATGAGAAAATGTCAAACGATAAGATAGAGATTTTCTACATAAAGGGTTAGCTTGGCGAAGAACTTAATACGTGCGCAGCAATCGAAAAGAAGATGAAAGAGCTGCAATAATGTCTGGATCAATTGAAGGCCAAAAAGAAGGAGAGGATAAAAAAGAAGATAAGTGATGGAACCAACAGAAAAAATTAAGTGCTGGTTATAGAAGCGAGGCAAAAGAAAAAAAAAAGGAATGAAGAAAAGAAGACGAAGATGGAAAACATAGTAGAATAATTGGAGAAGAGCGTAGAAAGGCTAAAGATGGAAATCAAGGGAACGAACAAGGAAAGCTCTTTTTAGTGATCAATAATGAAGAAGTCAATAAAAAAGAGGAGCGGACGCATCAGAAAAAGGAAAAAGGCAGGGTAAATCATAGACTAAGAAGAGGCAAAAACAGCATGAATAGAGTAAGAGAAGAAAGAAAAAGTAAAAAGTGCAAAAAAATGTGAACGTATGATCTCAGAAGTCGAGCAATCGTAGAAAAAACCCTTATTATAAGTGCATAATCTGCTAAAGCAAAAAAAATTAAGAAGTGTACATAGTCCATAGCTCAAGGTAGAGGACTCTAAGAAAAATGACAATACTGATTAACTTTTTGTTCATCTCTTGCACAAGTCTATCTTTTCTTTTTATCTGTATTAAACTATTATTTTTGTTTTGTTTAATCTCTTTCAAATTCGATGCTCTCTGTTAATGCCTTAAGTATGTTTAGTAGTTGCATAATAAAAAAATACACGATACTGTAACTTACTAATATAAGTTCCTATTTATTAAGTATCAAAATTTATTTTGAACGCCAAACCCGACTTGTAGTTCGAAGAATTTGGACGTAAGTCTAAATAAATAATAATAAATATATTATAGATATTTTACGACATGGACTGATTTACTTTTTTGATTACTGAACTCTGCATTTCATAAAATATTTTAGCACGGCATACTAGTTTCTGTATGAAAATTTAAATGAAAAATATAACTTACCCAGGTAGATGCGTAGTGATTTTCTTATCCGACTCTGCTGTGACATTAATTAATGGAGAAAACTTGTTAGGAGTCGTCATTTCGGGATTATTATTACCCCATTGATAGTTGGATCTGCGTCCAAGTTGCACAGCATCCATAGGAGGCTGTAAAATAAATTTAAAAAGTTCGTACAATGGCTTTTAGCACACTTCATCGTATCTCATTGTTAAAAAATGCAGATAATTTTCAACTTTAATACAGTCTGTCTCTATGGATACAGAAAAAATAAGAATAACACATACAACAGACACCTCAGAAATCTTCTTTTACAAGAATTCATAAAACTAACCTATTGGTATTGGAGCATAACATTAATTATAAAAAATACAAGTTCATTTCAGTTTTTGTATAAAATCGATTAACAAAAGGTCATAGAAGCTAATATTACATTAAAAAATATAGCCCAATAATTAAGATACAAAATAAAGTTTTAATGCAACTTATAGTTGAGGTACAAATAAAAAAAAATACAAAATCGGCATTTTCGCATCGTTTAAGTAATTTTGAATGCTTTGTACATTTTTAATTTCTTACTTGTTACAATAACGTTTCAAAGATCTTATTTTGCTGATGGAGTTTTGTAGTATTTTTATATTACGTTGGATTGTAATATGTAATTGTTAACATTGTATTATTTTTATTAAATGTAAATTTTACAAAACAAAAACCATTTATGGTTTAATTTATCATCAAGTGCCTGAAAATTTCATTAGTTAAAACCAAATAAAATTAATAATATAACAAAAAGCTGTACTTAAGAATCATACAGAATTTAACCTGCAAGAAGAAAAGGTACGTTGACACATATATATTTTACTAAGACCAATACTTGTGTTTCTTTCCCCGATATACAAATAAATAGTTAGACAGTCTGCTAGTCTCGCAGCCCGTCAGGGAGCGTGAGACCCAAATCCACAAGCATCCAGTGTTTACCAGATGATAAAGTTAAATAATTACGATTCATTATTTTTAATTATCTACCAGTATTTAAAACTATTCTAAATTCTTTATAAACAATTGGAACTATCTGAGATTTTGTAGAAATATGATAGATTATTGATTTAGTTCTTTATAATTACTTTCACGATGCATACAAATTTTATTGAGATAATAGTTAAAATTGAATTATTCAACATTGTTTATAATAAATTTTATAGCAAAGAAGAATTATTTTAATTCCTTTTTTATAGCGTTTTTTCAAATATAGAATTCTGAAGGCAACTCGAAATTAGAAGCTAGAAGTCCCTTGTGGAATCTTTGTAGAATTCTGTGCCCATGTGCTGCCTTACAGCTTTCATGTCTCGTCAATTTATATCGATTAAAAGTTTTTTCTAATCTTTAAGTTCCAGAGAGCGCTGTTTTTTTGAGGTGGAACGCTCTAGATCATCGTTTTTTGGAAGTCCTCGGATTGACTTTGGGTAACCCGGTTGCTGAGCATAAGATGATAATCAGCTGGTAATCACTTAACATTTTAGCACAGTATTCGAAACATATTCACCTAAAGTACTCATGCCAATCACCTGATTTTTAGCTGACTATAACTTGACATGCAGATGCTAATGATCAGCTGAAGATTAAGTGAAAATCAGGTAAATATCAGGTAAAAATCAGGTAAATATCAGGTAAAAATCAGGTAAATAACAGGTAAAAATCAGATAAATATCATGTTAAAATTAGGTAAATACTTGATAAGTTGTATTTAAGAAACTTAAAGCAAAGCTCACTTGATATTCACCTGATTTTCGGATACTAGCATATCAGGTGATAATCGTGTTAAAATATCAAACTAAAATGTCAGGTGATTATATATAATTAGAGTTACAACCTTCCAGCATAGCCAAGCATTTACAACAATAAATAATTTTTTTTTGACAGTTGAATATTGAGGCAACTATATAAGAAATAACTGCGTTTGAGTATTCATTTCTAAACTGCTGACTCGGAGGTGGGCAGTAATCATGCTCTATTGATATCAATTCTTTTTTACTCTGGAGTACTAGAATCACAAGAGAATAAATTATATGGATTCTTCTTTGTACTATTTGGCTGTGAGGAATTGCTATCAGTCTTTGACCTCTTTGAAGCGACTTCAGCATCCTGCACTTGATGGCTTGATTCGTCAGAGTTGGTATCTAAAGTAACAAGTAGAGTAGTATCTAATGGTAAACAATTTGCTGATGCAGGGACAATGACGTTCAATTTATTGCATATAATTTTTTTGATAGCTGCAAGATACTGGGTTGACATAGGATTGTAGTTGTGACCATTCATCCGATGAATGATCGAATAAGCATTTCTACATGATCTTGAGACATCTTGTTACTTAACAGGTAATCCATGTGCCTATTCTCAAATAAATTGTGTGTTATGTCAACAAAATTTGTTAAACAAATCATCAGTCCTGGTCATGCAGTTACTTTCATTAAAATAATTTGGCTTTCTGGTTTGCTTCCTTGTTTTTTTTACTTTTTTTAAAATCATAAAAAAACTTTAAAATTTTTAGTGCAAAGTAAATGTACCAAACGTTGGCCATCTTAGTAGACCAATTTCTAAAGAACTCCATAATTATGAAAAAAAGGAATATTTCAAGTCCTAGGTATTATTTTATAATTATAACACTATTATAAGTTGTACCAAAAAAAAATAATTTTTTGCATACACAGAAAAAAAGCTTTTATTTATTATTGGACATGATGGAATATCCCAATTCTTGGCCACTGTATTAAAACCCACTGTAGAAAAAATGTGTCCCTGTGGCCGAAACTACAAGTCCCAATAACTGGCAAGCTGTATGAATTGCACGCAAGTAACATTGGCCAGTTATTAGGACACACTAAAGGTAAGGTTACGTTGACCAAAGCCATTCTCAACCGATCAAAATCACTTTCTAGAACAACTTTTTTCTAATTTTTTGGTTAAAATATCATCGAGATAACTGTTAACAATGAAATTTATTTAATTTTTAAGCGTGAATATTAAAAAAAATTTTTTGATTACAGCTGCAAAAATTCGTGCGAATCGTACAATTGTGATTGTGGCCAGTCTTTGGGACCAATTTTTTTGGTGACCAAGCATTGGAAAACTTACCTTATAAAACGAACTCATCTGTTTTTTCTTTTAAATCTTTTCAAGATTTACAAGTAATAGCAAACTTCTCTGATATTTTACCAAATTTACTTTCGACGTTGAGAATTTTAAAAATATCATTCAAATTTTTACTAAAGACTGAAGTTCCTGCAGCTCCTTTAAATTTTTCGTCTTTGAAATGAAAATGTAAAAAATTTGATGACATAGCTGTACTTTTGCTCAAGATTTGAATAATTAAAATAACTATCATTGTTTCATTACTACAGTTGACATGCTTATTTCTAATTTTTGTTGCACAATGGTTTTTCTTTCTACTGTCTTTCAAGTAACTTTTCAATGAAACTACAATCAACATACTCCAGATCTTTTTAAAGTAACGAACCCTTTAAAGTTTATTGTAGTGACAGAGATCATAAAAAATATATACTAACTTTCCTATTTGAGAATAAAGAAAATATGGATTAAGTTTCTTCTTGACGTGTACCGTTGTACACTTGAATTAGCTCCCAAGTGCTCACAAGTCATTTGGTGAGCTTTATTACTGTCAAATGTCAGACTAGCAACATGTATGTTATTATCTGCCAGTTAAACTAGCAAATCCTTTATTAAAATTAATTTTTCTAACCCATTCAATAAGTGTATAAAATAAAGAGCAACAGGTGCTTTAAACGCACCACTGATGCAAACTAGCACGAAGACAAGTGCTTTGGTAGCTACTTGCGGCTCATCATTGCGGTGAATTTCATTTAATTGATCCTTCAAGTTAACTAATTCCTTTCACGCAAGACTAGATGTATCCCACTCCTTGTGCTGCTTTATGATCATATCATCGAAAGTTACATTAAAGATCAAGTTACATCCTTTGAGATTTTCTTCTTCCACTAATTTTGATACTTTATGTATCATCTGATCAGAAATTTCAGGTCTATAATCAAACGAATTTAACCAATTATTAAGACATTTTACTGACGGCCAACACATCATAAAGCTACTACGTACAACTTCGTACGCAGCAGGGGAGTGGAAATGTAAACTTCTGGCGAAATTATTAAGGGTAGGAGGGAAGGCAACTGTGTTTTTGTCCTACTTTATGCGTTAAATGAGTTCCTGAAGATGTTCTGGTAATCCATGTACACGAAAAAAAACTTAGGTTTAGGAAAAAACAGAGTTGACGTATATTAACTGTAAAAATCTTTTTGTTATAAAACCATTAATTTTGTGTACGATACATTACGTTATAACATACACATAACGATCACATTTGGAAAATGTAATCTGATAAGGTAATACAAAAAAACTCATAATCCTCAATGCTTTAATAAAAACCATTTCTGAGTTAAATTCATTAGCTTACCCCTTCAGTCAAGATGGTATATATTTGGATAAAAAAAAGACAAATTACTTATTGCGTAAGAAATAAAATTTCATGGAAAAGAGCATAAAAAATCAAGGAAGTAAATAAAAAATAGAAATTAAACGTCATTTAATAAGTAATTTGCAGGATTTAACACTTCCTCCCGCTCTAAATTAAATATTACGGTGAAAAGAGATTTAATTTTTTTTCTCTGTTTTGATAGATCGTTTGTACGTAGTACTAAGTTTTGACCTGCAAAAAGCCTTGTACTGCAAAAACTAGGCCCAACTGTGATACGATAAAAAATATCTCGGCTTAAGTATTTCACGGTCTTACAATACATGAATTTCACTCCTTTCAAACGACGTTGCTTATTATAGAATTAATTTTATTGCAACGGTTATTTAAGTGTTCACTTATTTTTGCACAACAAAGATTAATACTGTTATGACCAAACTTGTTTAAAGTATGGTCTTAACCATTTTATTTTAATGTTATCCGTAGGTATCTTAGGATTCAGCTCGTGAGCTTTATTTGTTCTTTTTAGTCAATTAAAAAAGTTGTTTAAATAATATGGATGATATTAATCAATGTCATATTTTCAATTCTTTTATCAAAACAATTCAAAACAGATATTCTCTTGAATACAGTCCATTCAGATCA